AATGCGAATTAAATCTGCAATTTTCTTAACGCGAAGACAACATAATTGTAATTACAGCAATTTTTTGGATTTTAGCACTCGATTTCACAACAATAATTACGTGTCAATATTTACACTTCTATAAACATTTCCATTTAAAAATATTATTACTTGGAAAAGTCTAATCAGGCATTATTATATTATTAGTAAGCACGTGTGTTAACTTGATATACGATAAACAACAGCGAAGAAAATATTATAAAAAAAAATTGTGGCGTCAATCAATATCAAAAATCCGAATGTTTATTGTGGATAATCGAAAGGTAGTACCTCCAACTAAAAATAATTATGTTAATGGAACCAATTGACGTCACTAAACGCAGACAAGGAATTTTTTTCGAATGAATATGGAAACAAACACAAAGCTTTAATTTATTTTCGGACGTTCTAGGTAGGTACTACCTATTTAACTTTGTAAGTAGTAGCAAATTTTTTCTATTGTCATTGGGATTGATAATTATTATTTGCCATTGTTGAGATTTAAATCAGCTTGAAATTTATGTACAAAGTATTGGTAGGTAAATATTGTATACGTGTCAAAAATTGTTAATCGTTAATTGTCAATTTGTTATTTTCAATGAGTCATAGATAATAATTGTGTTTATATTGCAGCGGAGATTATTATCCGGTCAATAATTATTTTGACTTTATTAGCAGCATGAGTAGGTAGTTATATTTATTTTTTTTTTAATAGTTTTCTGAATCATCCTGGTATGTAATTTGAAAGGAAATTGTCAATAATATTTAGTTCAAAACCTGCTTTTGTAACTTGGGCTGGGACTCTGTAATGAATAAAGATACTTTTCTCTATCTCTGTTGTCGTTCCCCCTCTATTGATTTTTATCTGTTACAGAATCCCAGCCCTGGAGAGAAAGAACTCAACAATATCTCTCATGGATTTCAAGATATTGAGAGTGTATTCGTGTCTTTTTCTAATAGCTTGTATAAGAAAGAGATAGAAATAGATTTTTTCTGCACTGGTTTTATCAATAGAATTCGATATAATTCAAAAAACCATTGGGTTTTGGTATGAAAAAATTCAAAACGTAGCAACCCTAGTCCAATAATGTAGCAACTCTAGCACAATTTAACGTTTCAAAGTAGGCCTTTCAATTTTTGACAATGGCTGGGTTGTTTCCAAGGCCTACTTGGCTTGATAAATCTTTCGCTCACAGTTTTCCGTATTAGCGACATCGATTAAAACCATGGTTGCTTCCAGAGCCTACTTAGTTTTCGATAAGTAATCCTGTAGTTTGTCAAAAAAATTATTTGACATTTTGTCTAACAGTGTTGCCGATGTTTAAAAAGTAACTACTGTTATGGAAAATTTGAAATTTGCAAGGCCTACTTGGACTTTTTTTTTTAAATTTGCGAGCCTCAATCATTGAGACGATGTTTATTATGAGTTATAGTTGACAAGCGACAAAGTAGGCTTTGGAAAATTTCAAAATTTGATTTTGGCGCCCTGTAATACCGACATCGCAATACGCCCGTAGAACGAGAGTTATTTCTAATTACGAGCCCGCAAGGCCGGGGTCTTTTAAAGTTACGAGTTTATAGGGCGAGGGTTTTTGATGTGATTTTTTGACAATTAATTCAAAATGGCGTTGAACCTGAAATACCGACAATCTATAAAAATCAGGGTTGTTTCCAAGGCCTACTTGGTTTGATAAATCTTTCGGTTACATTTATCTGTATTACCGACATCAATTAAAACTAGGGTTGATTCCAAGGCCTACATAGTTTTTGATAAGTAGTAATCCTGTCGCTTGTCAAAAATATGATATTTGACATTTTGCCCAACAGTGTTGCCGATGTTTAAAAAATAATTACTATTGTGGAAAATTTGAAATTTGCAAGGCCTACTTTGGCTTTTTTTTTTAAATTCTCGAACCTCAATGATTGAGACAATGTTTGTGGTAAGTTGTGGTTGGCAACACTGTTTGACAAGCGACAAAGTAGGCTTTGGAAAATTTCAAAATTTGAATCTGGCGCCCTGTAACACCGACATCGCAATACATACATGTTTCCAAAGCCTACTTGGTTTAATATAAGCCCGTAGGGCGAAAGTTACTTTTAATTACGAGCCCGCAGGGCCGGAGTCTTTTCAATTGCGAGCACGTAGGACCGGGTTTTTTAAAATCACAAGTTTATAAGACGAGGGTTTTTGATGTAATTTTTTGACAATTAATTAAAAATGGCGTTAAACCTTAAATACCAAAAATCTATGAAAATCCGGGTTGTTTCCAAGGCCTACTTGGTTTGATAAATCTTTCGGTTACAGTTATCTGTATTGCCGACATCAATTAAAACTAGGGTTGATTCCAAGGCCTACATAGTTTTTGATAAGTAGTAATCCTGTCGCTTGTCAAAAATATGATATTTGACATTTTGCCCAACAGTGTTGCCGATGTTTAAAAAATAAATACTGTTCTGGGAAATTTAAAATTTACAAGGTCTACTTGGTTTTTTTTTTTTCAATTTTCGAACCTCAATGATTGAGACAATGTTTGTTGTAAGTTGTGGTTGGCAACACTGTTTGACAAGCGACAAAGTAGGCTTTGGAAAATTTTAAAGTTCGACTTTGGCGCCCTGTAATACCAACATTGCAATTTATGTTGTAGGCAGAGAGGAATTTCTAATTACGAGCCCGCAGGGCCGGGGTCTTTTTAAATCACGATCCCTTAACGCCGAGGTCTTTTTAAATCACGAATTTATAGGGCGAGGGTTATTGTCTGGTAATACGCATGAATGTTTATGAAACCCTTGCCCTACGGGCTCGTTATTTAAAAAGACCCCGACCCTTCGGGCTCGTAATTTAAAAAACCCCGGCCCTACGGGCTCGCAATTAGAAAAACCCGCGCCCTACGGGCAAAAAATTAAAAAAATCCGGCCCTGCAGGCTTGCAATTTGAAAAAAAAAAAATATATGACAACACCGCTCATAACACAATAAACGTCGAGAAACTGACGTTTCAAAGTAGGTCTTGTTTTCTTTGACAGTTGACATCAGAGCGACGTCTTTTTAACATTTTTGGAGTCCCCTTTTTGCTAAATTGTCAATAATTTTTATTTAATTTGCATTTTGACAATTATTTCAAAATGGCCCCCTGTTTTCGATTCGAGTCGAACCTGCAATGCCGACAATCGATAAAAATCAGGGTTGTTTCCAAGGCCTACTTGCTTTGATAAATCTTTCGCTTACAGTTTTCCGTAGTACCGACATCGATTAAAATCAGGGTTGCTTCCAAGGCCTACTTAGTTTTCGATAAGTTATTTGACAAAAATATGATATTTGACATTTTGTCTAACAGTGTTTCCGATGTTTAAAAAATAATTACTGTCATGGAAAATTTCGAGCTTCAATGAATGAGACAATATTTGTTGTTAAGTTATAGTTGGCAACACTGTTTGACAAGCGACAAAGTAGGCTTTGGAAAATTTCAAAATTTGATTTTGGCGCCGTGTAATACCGACATCGCAATGCATACATGTTTCCAAAGCCTACTTGGTTTAATATAAGCCCATAGGGCGAGAGTTATTTCTAGTTACGAGCCTGCAAGGCCAAGGTCTTTTTAATTGCGAGCCCGTAGGGCCGGGGTCTTTTTAAATCGCGAGTTTATAGGGCGAGGGTTTTTGTCTGGTAATACGCATGAATGTTTATAAAACCCTTGCCCTACGGCAAAGAATCAAAAGAAAATGTATTATGAGACATTTGAATCTTTATCTCAAAATCCGATGATGATAAAAATTTGAAACTTTCTCAATCCCTAGAAGAAGGTTAGGAGTATCTTGTCCCAAAATCTCAAGCCGATTATTTCAAAATTAGAGAAACAACTTTGGCAAAGAATCAAAGGGAAAAATTGCACTATGAGACATTTGAATCTTTATTTTAAAAACCGATAATGATAAAAATTTGAAACTTTCCCAATCTATAGAGGAAGGTTAGAAGTATCTTTTCCCAAAATCTGGATCCAATTATTTCAAAATTAGAAAAACAACATTGGCAAAGAATCAAAGGGAAAATTGCACTATGAGACATTTGAATCTTTATCTTAAAAACCGATAATGATAAAAATGAATCTTTACCTCCAAATCCGATGATGATAAAAATTTGAAACTTTCTCAATCCATAGAAGAAGGTTAGGAGTATCTTTTCCCAAAATCTCAAGCCGATTATTTCAAAATTAGAGAAACAACTTTGGCAAAGAATCAAAGGGAAAAATTGCACTATGAAACATTTGAATCTTTATCTTAAAAACCGATAATGATAAAAATTTGAAACTTTCCCAATCTATAGAAGAAGGTTAGAAGTATCTTTTCCCAAAATCTGGAGCCAATTATTTCAAAATTAGAAAAACAACATTGGCAAAGAATCAAAGGGAAAAAATGCATTACATTTGAATTTTTATCTCAAAATCCGATAATGAGAAAAATTTGAAACTTTTCAAGTCTCTAGAAAAAGGTTAAGATATCTTTTACCAAAATTTCAAAATGATTTTCTCAGACAATGCAAAATTCGTTTACATGTTTGTTTGCTTTAACGTAGAAAGCCTTTGCACTAACTTTTATTTAAAAAAATTGCTGAAAATCTCAAAGCAATCTGAACATCGAGTCAAGTTAATGTCCAGTTATCACCTGTAAAAACAACAAAATTCTTGTTCACCACCCTCTTCCCCCATAACACAATCAATAACCCCCTATATTATTAACCCAAAGTCAACCCAACAAGTGCACAATAATTCATTACAAAAGTCCGCCAAACTCGTGTCCGGAAAAAAAAAAATCCCCAATAGACAAGGACCGCGGTCGTTTGTCGGGACAAGAGAGAGGACACGAGGGCAGCTGCACGCGCTAAACTCAGGCCACAGGTGGCCGAAGTGTGGGAAAGATCAAGCTCCCGCGTTTCCCACGATCAAAAACTACGACACATCGTCGTGACTACACACCTGAACCGCCTATAAAAACCCCACACCCTACCACCGTGGCCGCTCATTCTGTTTTCGACTCTCGTGCAGTACAGTACGCTTTAGGTACCGCCACCTATTTTTTAAAAGTCAGTTGTGTTTGTGTTTCGATTTCGCGCGCACCCAATTAAGTGATAAAATGATGTCTACAACAACAACACTTGTTGAAGAACCTCAACCAATCTCCAGAACCTATCAATACAGAAAGGTGATGAAACCGATGTTAGAAAGAAAAAGACGAGCTCGTATTAATCGATGCCTTGACGAATTAAAAGAACTTATGGTGACAGCGTTGCAAAGTGAAGGTGAAAATGTTTCAAAATTGGAAAAGGCCGACATCCTGGAACTAACAGTACGTCACCTCCACAAACTCCGTCGCCAGCAACGCTTAAGCTACAATCCTGTAGTAGATGCTGACAGATTCCGTGCAGGATACACTCATTGCGCAAACGAAGTTTCCAGATGCCTTGCTGGTACTCCTGGTGTAGATGTCCACCTTGGTACTACTTTGATGACTCATTTAGGACATCGGCTTAATGAAATGGATAAAGTGTCTCCGCTAGTTATAAACGTGCCCAGTCCCTACACTCCTCCAGGTTCGCCAAGTCCTCATTCGTATGCTTTGCCTCTAACACCAGCTTCTTCAACTACATCGAGGCATACACCTTCACCAAGTCAACCTATTGATTGTAGTACCAGTGGGCTTTTGAAGGTAGTGCATGATGAAAAAGTTTGGCGACCGTGGTAAAACATTTGCTCAATTTTTTAGTTTTGTAAGTTGATCTCTATTTTTTTTGAGTTGATAAAGCTTTAATTTAGTTTTTAAGGCAAATAATTATTTGTGATATAATTTTTAATAATAATAATTATTGTATAGTTTGTAGGTACCTGTGATTTTCTTTGTATAAGGATGTTTTTTTTTTTATGTATTGCAAGCTCTGTCTGTGATACAAGTGTGTAATTTTTATTTTATTTTTTGACGTTTGAACTACATACATACATTTTTTTTTTGATATTATAATAAGAAAAATATAAACTGTTATTGAAATATAATTTTTTGGTGTTTTATTTTTTATGTCAAAAGGTTTTTTTCACTATCTTTTGATAGATGAAACAAAAAAAAAAAGGTAAATAGAATAATTTTATTGTTATTGAGTATTAAATCCAAAATAAAAAGTGAATTATTCAATAAATTGAAGGGCTTTCAGGTACCACCAGGTACTCACATAAATTCTTAATGAAGAATACCTACTGCTGCCATCTATTAGCAAAGGCGTGATTCAATTTTCGAATTTTTACCTGGGGCTTTCTTTTCCACATTACAAGCCCCTTGATTTTTGGTTTTCAGTTCTTCGAAATTATTTCTGTTTTCATAATTCCAAGGTCTATTGAGATAAATGGGTATTCTTTATGATTCATAATTTTTTTCCTGGTATTCAAAAAATCAATTTTCACGTTCTTACGTCAAGCTTTCTCCACTAAAAATCATAAATAGAAAATGTTACAATTTTCTTTTTCTCTTGAGCTATGGAATTTTTCAATTTTCAGAAAGCAATTTTAGTATCCCATTTTAAATTTTCCACAAATCCAAACACACTGTTTTATTAATTCAGATTTTTCGAATGTGATTCAGAAAGCCACATTTGTAATTCAGATTTTGCAAATGTAATTTAGAAAGCCTCAATTTTAATTCAGATTTTTTAATTCTTTTCCAGAGAATTTGATTTGTAATTCAGAAAATCCAGTTGTTGTAAAGCAGATAACATCAGATGTGATTCAAATATATAACAGTTATAATTCGGAGTAAACAGATTTTTTAATGTAAAGCCCGTATTACATTTGTGTATTTTTCCTTTGTATTTGTATTTCTTCATGTAGTTCAGGGTGCCAAAATTATTTTGTTTTTCATAATGCTGATTTATCTTGCGTATGAAGTTCTTCGGTTGTCACTCTGAACTACATGAAGAAATTCACGGAAAAATAAACATACCTATGTAATACGGGCTTAAGGGTATCTGGACTGTGAACAATTATTATTTTAAAGGGAAACAATTACAATGTTCAATAAATTGTGAACCGAACTAACCAAATTTTCTGAATTTTAGTTTCGATTTTCTGAATTACAAATGAGATTTTCTGCATTACATTTGAAAAATCTGAATTGCAAATGAGATTTTATGAATTACATCTGAAAAATATGAATTACAAGTGAGATTTTCTGGATTACATTTGAAACATCTGAAATAAAACTGATACTTTCTTAATTATAAATATTGAAAATGGTGTAGTGGAGCTAAAACTGAGCTAAATAAACTAAGAAAGCTGATTTTTGATCATTTTCGTAATAAAATTGAGCTAAAACTATTTATGAAGCTCATGTCTAATAGAGCTACAATAATTTCAACTATGGATATATTAGAATTCTATTTTCGGCTCTAGTAGAGCTAACATTGAGCTAGATAAACTAAGAAATTTGATTTCTGATTATTTCCGAAATAAAGCTAAGCTAGATCTATTTATGAGGTTCATTTTTGAATTCTTTTGGAACTAAAGTTCAATTAAAGAAGCCTAAAACTCCAAAATTTCATAACTGGTTCTAATAGAGCTACCTCGAGAGCTACAATAATAGCTCTGTTCCAAACGTAATAAGAACCGTTCCAGAACCAGTAATTTCTAGTTGCCCACCTATTTTCCAATAAATTGAACGTTTATCTTAGTTAAAAAATAAATTAATCAACTGGAAATTACCGTTCTAGAACGGTTCATGTCGGTTGGAACAGAGCTAATTTCAACTATGGATGCAATAGAATTCTATTATCGGCTTTAGTAGGACCAAAATTGAGCTAGATAAACGAAGAAATATGATTTCTGATCATTTTCGTAATAATAAAGTTGGGTTAAAACCATGTATGAAGCTCATTTTTGAATCCTTTAAAGCTAAAGTTTGACCGAAAAAGCTCAAAAGTCCAAAATCTCATAGCTGCTTTCAATAGAGCTACAATAATTTCAACTATGGAAGCAATAGAATTCTATTCTCGGCTCTAGTAAAGCTAAAATTGAGTTAGATGTACAAAGAAATCTGATATCTAATTATTTCTGAAATAAAGCTAAGTTAGAGGCGGCTATGAGTCTCAGTTTTGGATAATTTTCATTCGGCTTCAAAATCTCATGACTGGTTTTAATAGAGCTACAATAATTTTAACTATGGATGCAGAATTCAATTCTTGGCTCTAGTAGAACCAAAATCGAGCTAGATAAACGAAGCAATTTGATTTCTGATCATGTTCGTAATAAAGCCGTTTATGAAGCTCATTTTTGAATCCTTTTAGTTATTGTTACAAAATATCTAGTGTCACGTGGTAATAGAACTACCAATTTTATTATGCAATTACTAGTGCATTAAATTTGGAATGCTGTCAAAATTGACCCTGTTGTTTATTATTTGGATTGAAGAATACTTTGTTTAATCTTAGACAGGGGCGTAGCCAACAGGGGGGGAGACGGGGGAGCCTTCCCCCCAGGGCGCAGCTGGCAAAGGGGCGCCAAAATAGGCAAAGTGCAAAAAACAAAGAAATTGAATCAAAATAAACATTCAAAAAGCAGGGCCGCCGCTACCATGTGTGCGGTGTGTTCAAAACACACAGGCGGCCGATTGAAAGGGGCGGCCGATTAAAAAAATGTTGCCGCCGACGATCCTGATGCAACAAAAATATCATGTAGGTACATACGTGGTAGAATATTAAAAACCACCCCCCTTCCCTCGTACAACTTTTAGACTTAGCGTATGAGTCGGGGTAATGACGAAGGACAACACAAAAAGGAGACGCGTATCTGCAGTGACGTCACAAGGGTATCGGCGCTCGACAATAATAGGCAATCCTCCTTGTTTTTAAATCCTTGGTTTGGGTTAGTTGAAGGCCGACGAACGATTGTCAATTCGTCGGCCTTCATTGTCATTAGCTGTTTTTTTTCGTCTCTCTACGTTATATCTTTCTTCTTCAAATTTCCCAATACGTTACGTTAAGTGACGCGTCCTTCAAATCACTCTCCATTTTCCGCAAAATATACCGCCGCCTAAAGAAAATTCACTTCAAAATAAATCATAGGTAGCCATCGACTTTTATCGAAAATAAATCTCTGAAACAAATCATCCATCAAGCTTCAATAACGAAAATAAACCGAAAGTATTTCTTCACAAATTTGTATTACATCCCTAAGGCGGCGGGTGGTCTGATATGAAAGTGATATGAAAGACGCGTCACGTTTTGGCAAATTTCGTTACACCAGGGGCCCGGTTCTCGTCTCAGGTAGAGGAGAGCTCCCCGAGAGAACAAATTTTTCGTATTTATCATTCCCTTTCACTTTTCGACTACGTTGACAAGGACAAAAAATTCGTTCTCTCGAGGAGCTCTACTCCTTGGGGACGAGAATCGGGCCCCATCAGAGAGAAAAAAAATGTAACGTAGGGAGAAAGAGGAAGATAGCCAATGACAATGACAGCCGACAAACCATTGACACAAAGAGGATTGCCTATTATAGTCAAGCGCCGATAAACAGATACGCGTCTCCCTTTTGTGTGGTCCTTATTCTTTCATCTTTACCACGAATCTTTGACTCGATTCATACGCTAAGTATCTCAAAGTCAAAAAACTTTATTCCATTCCAACGCCCTCAATTTTGTACTTTAGAGGGAATGGGGTGGCGAAAATTGTCTGGGCACACAGGCGGCCAACACACTAGAGGCGGCCCTGTCAAAAAGTTTGGTGTTTTTATTTTGAAAATCTACAATATACCTACACTTCATTTTTTTCACCTGAAACTATCTAAGAAAATCAAGAAATCGAATTGGCAATAGATAAAGTCTCATTCAATACATAAGTTAAGTTTTTAGGGCGAATACTAGGCAATATTTCGCGAGGATAATCAAGCATACTCGAGTATGCTGAATAATGGTTATGTGTCAATTGTGTCATACTCCCCTAACTCCCTCTCGATTAAATTCTGAGCCTCCGAGTGACGTCACTACCAGTAGCTTATAATGATGACGTCACCCGCAGACCTCGATGGAATGCTTGCGATTCAGGCTGTGCTAGTGAGTTAATATTTTCGTCAATTTCAAATGTAGAAAAGGCGATTTTCGGTTTATTCTCACAGAAGGAATTAAGTGTTCTTGATCCTCGAGTATCCCAGAATTTGATGGTGGGAGAGTTAGGGCAGTATGACACAAAATGAAACATCACATAATCCAGCAAAAGATTGTGCTTGGTTATCCTCACGAAAAATTGCCTATTATAAATCTATTTTCACAGAATAACTGAAAGTTAACTTCATGAATGACAGAAATGACGTTACTTCTCATTGCAATTCCAGAAGTTAACTTTGAGTTATAAGTCAGAATAGTTCTATAATACCCGCCCTTAGTGATACAACATTTTGATCTAATTTTTCATTGAATGAAATTATACCCATATTTACTTAAAATTGGCAAAATTTGGGTGTGGTCACCAATAAATTTTTCTTCACCTTTGGATTGCCTTCGCGGCGCTTAGGGGGCGCCGGATCTCAGTCTCCCCCCCTAGGGATAGTCATATCGCTACGGCCCTGATCTTAGATTTGTTGAAAATGTGAACAAACAAAGGTAAACTTGAACATGGATAAAGAAGAAAATAAGTTGAAAGTATACCTAACTTAACTCGTAACAAAACCAGCAAGCTTAAGAAGCTAAAAAAAATCCAGATTTCAACTAAACTTAACTCTGATTTGGCAAATACTTCCTTATAATAATACCTAATATTGCAACAAAACAAGAGTCTAAAACTCCAAAATCTCATAAATGGGTCTAATAGAGCTACAATAATTTTAACTATGGATGCATTAGAAATGTATTATCGGCTCTAGAGAGTCAAAATTGAGCTAGATAAACGAAGAAATTTGATTACTGATCATTTTCGTAAGCTAATTTTTGAACCGTTTTAGAACTAAAGTTCAATTGAAGAAGCCTAA